ATGTCCCAAGTACTTCACTTCTCGTCGAAACAAGTGACATTTCTTCGAACTCAACTTCAAATTTGCTGCCCGCAATCGTTGAAAGACTTCTGTCAAATTATTGGCATGTTCATCGAAGGATCTTCCTACTACAATTACATCATCCAAATAAACCAGGCATGTTTTCCATGTTAGACGTCTTAAAACTTCCTCCATTAATCTTTCAAATGTGGCCGGGGCATTACATAAAGCAAAGGGTATAACTGTAAACTGCCAGAGCCCTGATCCTATCGAAAATGCGGTTTTCTCACGATCAGCTGGCTCCATGTCTACTTGCCAATATCCACTTTTCAGATCGAGTGTGGAAAACCAACGAGAACCAGAAAGTGTATCCAAAGTATCGTTTATTCTCGGCAAAGGATAACTATCTTTTTTAGTTACCGCATTGAGCTGTCGGTAGTGAATACAAAAACGTGTTGAACCATCTTTCTTCTTTACTAGCACTACTGGTGATGTCCATGGACTGTTCGATGGTTTAATTACCCCTTGTTTGTTCATATCTTTGATGATGTCTTCGGCTTCATCTCTTTTCGAAAATGGAAGTCGTCTAGGTTGTTGTCTGATTGGCTGAGCGTCTCCTATATTAATTTTATGCTTTACTATGCTTGTTTTGCCATTATCCTTCTTATCAATGGCGAAAACATCTTGAAATTCTATCAGCATAGACTTCACTTTTTTAGTTCGTTCATCATCAAGATATTGGCACGTTTTAATCATCGTCTCAACAAGCTCCTTTGGATACTTAGATTTCGACAGTTTCTCATTAGTATTCATGGAACAAATCGATGCCACGGGAACACACTGTCCGATCAAAGTTCTTTTACTTAGCTTAATATCAGTTCCCTTTAAATTCATAACTCTTACAGGAACGACATCTCGAATTCTCACCAAAGCTTTTGCCGTTAGGAACTCGGCATTGTTCACATCTTCGACCATCCTTAAACTTCCCTCTCGGCAGTAACTATCAGGTCTGGTCATCAAAATTTTCTCACTATTACCGGGTATTGTTACGTCACAAGTAGTTATTAAGCTGATAACATCTTCTTTCTCTTCATGAAACGGCAACTCTTCACCACTGATCTCGAGAACTCCATCTTTGACATTCAATACAGCCCCAACTTTCCTTAGTAAATCCATCCCCAATATGAACTCATCGGAGATCTCTGCAATTAATACTCTATGTTTCACTGTGGTCTGGCCAATGGGTACTGACATAATAGCCTCGCCATATGTATTAATTATCTCACCAGTTGCTGTTCTAAGCTTTACTGTTGCAGGCGATAATTTAAGATGGTCTCGTACTACTTCTGGCCGTGCAATAGTTCTTGTTGCACCTGTATCTATCAAAAACGATCTACATTTATTATTAATACGACCCCCGATGTACAAGCTATGAATTCCACCGGAGGACGTAATGTTCACAGTTACTATGGGGGCTGTGTTTCTCGAGGTCGGCAGTTGTCCCTTGGTGTCGACCCGTTCTAGTTTTCCGACTGTTGTATCATTTTCTTGCAATTACGACGAATGTGACCTACGTCACCACAATTCCAACATCTGGGCTCGCGTCTCTTCGGCATCGTGTTATGAACTATTTTTCGTACCATTTCTTCTAGATGTTCATCGTTTGGTTCGTCGCTTTCTTCAATGGTTATTACTCGATGGCTCCGTGAAGTTTGACTAGCTGTTTCATGTTCTAAGGCAATAGCGAGCGCTTCATCTAGAACTTTCGGTCTTGCTAGTCGTAAAGCTTTCTGCAATTCACTTTCTTTTAACCCATTGACGAAGGTATCTACAGCAATTTCTTCCAAAATGTTGTCTGGTACCTCCGGATAAGCCAACCGCACTATACGAGCAACATCTGCTTCAAACTCTTGCAAATTTTCACTTGCTCGTTGAATTCTACTTCTTAGTTGCGCCTTGTAGACTTGTTGTAGGTGGGCATCTCCGTAACGTTTGTCTAGTCGAATGAACAAGATCTGGTAACATTTTTCTTGAACCTTGGGAATCGATCTTAGGATATCTGCAGCATCACCTCGTAAAGCAGCAGTCAAGGAAACAGCCTTTTCTTGTTCTGTCCGATGATTGGCTGTCGCAATAGCTTCAAATTGTCTAAGGTATATGGACCAAGAAGACTTTCCATCAAATGGTGGCAATTTGAATCTCATATGATGTGTCGTTTCTTCTATCGGTGATTCTTCTTTTACTACCGAATCTAAGGCTACTTTATTAGCAGGTGGTAGCAATTTTGTATTGGTTATCATGCTCTGTAACTGTTTGATCTTCTCTTCTACTTTATCGAATGTTTTAGAAACTTCTTCAAATTTCTCATTGTTCTGAATACATATTTCTTTAATTATTTGTGAAGTCTCGTCGAATTTTCTAGATACATTTTCGAATGTTTCATCGAATCTTTTGGAAACGTTCTCTAATTTATTATCATGTTTTTTAGAAGATTCTTCAATCATATGCGACACATTTTCAAATTTACTATCATTTTGTTTAGAACTCTCTTCGATCATTTGTGAGACATTCTCAAACTTTCCATCAATTATTTTTGTTAAAACTGCTTCTTCTGCTGATTGAAACTGGAATGTCTCTGGGTCATCTCCATTCTTGTTAAGAACATTCTTTAGTCGTTCTTAGAGGATCTTCTTGGACCCGCTGCAGTCTTCATCGCGTTCTTCTAGTTGCTCACGCAACTGTTTTACTGAAAGTTGTACTATCAGCATCTTTGGTCAGGCACACACGTACTTTTTAAAATGTTCTTTCGTACAACGATCACCATCGAACTACGCGGATGTTCCCGACGAACAATACTTTTCAAAATTCAAGTTTTTTCTTTTTTTAAAGTCACTGCTAAATTATTTTTTTAATAAATCAATTGTCCTCATACTGTGACACCAACTGTACCGTAATAAAACGAGCGGTTCGAATTTATATAAATATATTTATTTATAATTTTACAGTTCGGTATTCTCTTATCAACTAAACCTAACTCCTAATTTCGTTACATATATATATATATATATATATATATATATATATATATATATATTATGTTCGAGAATATTCGGGAGTAGTCCCGTTAGGCGGGCCACGCATGCATGTTCGTAACAATATTATATAAGTCGATCGGTCAAATAGTTTAAAAGTTATTTAATTTGTTTTTCTCAAATTAAATTTTTTTGCGTCAATATAAGTCAAAAAATTATATAGTTATATTATTTAAACGGGTAGCTTCTGAAAGAAGGAGATTTATCGTAATAATATTATTTAAAAAAATTAAGAAAAATCATTTTAAACATTCCAAAATAATTTGGCAAAACATGTCGATTTTTTGCTTCTAAACTGCTCATTGCTCATCAACTATAGACAATTTGGTAAACATTTTCATTAAACAGATTATGCGAAGATCTCTACTTTTTTAGAATAGCAATATATATTTTTAAATTCAAAAGTCTTAATACCTATAGATATCTACTTAATCTAGAATGCGGTGGATATAATTAGGCCCCGGCGGTAAAATAATGGTTCAACCTCTATCCATTTGCTCAATAAATATTCTTTTAAAGATTCCTTCTATAACCTTTCAATATTATTTGTACAAGTTCCGTTATGGGTATCGACAAATTGCTTGGAATCATTCACAGTCTGGTTTTAAATCGTTCATGGGCCAAATAATTTTCCAATAATCACTATAAATGGTTGTGCCATTTCAGAATTTCTCCAAGCAATGTATCGGCACCTCTTCTTTCGACGCGCACTACTTTACTTACTTTCATCACATGTCAAAAAACATCAGCATCAAAGGAACTACAATATAGGCCCAATACATTAATTTTTTAAAGGGCTATATTGTTAAATTATATTTTCTATAACTTAATTATAGCATATTTGAAGACCTTAGAGCAGCGGTCGGGGAACTTTTTTAATCATTACCCCAAAACATTTTTGTGTAAGTTGATATTACCCAAGGCAAAAAACAAAAAATTAAAAAAAAATGGCCTCCTTTTAGCATCATTCATATTATAGCCCCCATGATAGTTTTGAACAGAAAACAATAACTAAAACATAAAATAAACATCATTTGTTCAATTTCTATGATATCTAGAAATACATACATAGTAATAGTAATAGATAACAATAATAAGATATAAAAAATTAAAACCCATTGCGGTACTGTAACAAATTATAATAATAATGGTTGTACCAGTGGCGGCTTTTCTTTATGTGCTGCTGAGCTGCAGAACTACCAAACAACCATAGCAAATCTTAATTATTAAAGAATAATTAATATAGTTTTATTTCAAATCTGCCATATTATCATATTAAACATAAACTGTTAATAATAATTCACCAACAACGATGATTAATATTATTTTTTTTACGTATTTACTCCTCTAGTGAAACCGTATAATTTTTTTACGTATTTGGTGCTCCAGTGAAGCAATCTTTTTACGTATTTGCTGCTCCAGTGAAGCCGCGTCGATAACAACCGAAACACTGGCAGCGGTTAAATGCATTTATTAGGCAAACGGCGATCTTAGCCGATGTGCTTCGGCAATCGGCTGATTAACGGCCTCGGAAATGTGTTTGCGAGCTGCAATTCACGACAGTTATTCGTGACCGTTGCATCTGTGCCAGAGAACTACGAACGCAGAGAAGCGACACTCCTTTCATCTTGCGTGGGCAAGCCGCCAACGAGTGAAAATGACAGGAAAGCACCTTATTTTTTAATAGTCAGTGGGCATATTACACAATATAAATTCTTAAATAAAATTTAGCATTTATGTTGACTTTCAATAAATATGAAATATTGCACATGAAATATATTTGTATTTATAAATAATACTTCATTACTTACAACTATAAGAGTATTAGTATATTCGAAGTGTATTGTAAATAATGAAGTATTTAACTTTTGTCAATATCTCATCTTAATAAATTTACAGTTTTCTCCTGATTAAGTCACAAAATTGTCACTAAATATTGAGATATACAATAAATAAAGTTTTAATATTTTTTATTTGTAATTCCCATTTAAATATTTATTCCCTAAATATGTTGTGTACTCCGATCCATATATTTGATCTTTGTTATTTATATGTAACGAATTAAACATTGACAGACAACTTTTGTATATAGCAAAAAGTAGATGAGCATTTAGTTTTTTCATAATTTAATGTAAGTTTGTTTGGTGAAAAAGACAGCAAATATTTGAAGTTATGTTAATGTAAGTTTGTTTATTTGCAATCATGTTTTTATTTTGAAGTCTTGTTCTGTTATAATTTTAAGATTTTCCCAATTTTCGATCTAATTATGTCTCCAACAATTTTTAGTTTGAGCATTTTAGGAATTTCTTTGTTTCGTTTAAATCAAATATTCTCGTGTATAAAACCCTCTATATATTTTTATTTCCTAAAAATACTATATTCGTATTGTTGTCTGCGAGCGCTTTCACACCAGTAGGCCAACATCTGTGTTGATTTTTTGACCTGAGCCTTCGGAGACAATAAATTTAATGTGTGTTCGTAATTCTCTGGTTTTTATTAATAATTAATAAATAATAAATAATTGACTGTATAAAATTCTGTGGAGCTTTTGAGCTCGCCTTACGAGGACACGATGAATCTGAAACATCAGATAACCCTGGAATTTTTCGTGGTTTAGTGAATTTTTCTGCTGAACTTGATAAAACACTTAGTGAACACCTTACAAATGCGACAATTTTCAAAGGTACCTCAAAAACAATACAAAATGATATTTTGGATTGCATGCTAGAAGTATACGCTGAGGAGATTTTAAACGAAATCAATGAAGCCCCATTTTTAGCAGTGATAGCTGATGAGACAACGGATGTTTCTATGAAATTTCAAATGGTCATTGTTTTTCGTTATGTAAAAAACGGTGCTCCAGTTGAAAGGTTTTGGACTTTTTTGCTTCCAGAAAAACATGATGCTGAAACCTTAGCTAACACAATTTTGAATGTTTTAGACCCAATATTAAAGAATAACAAAAATAAGCTCATTGCACAAAGTTATGACGGAGCAGCTGTTATGAGTGGGATACATGGCGGAGTGCAAACAATAATTAAGAGAAAATATGAAACTGCTCATTTTGTGCACTGTTACGCCCATCAATTGAATCTAAAAGGTGCAGTGCCTTTACTAAAATTTATAATTTCTAATAATTTAGAGGACACATTAACAGAAACCAAAAAGTTGATACAAATTCTGGTGACTACGCCAATGACCACAGCAGAAGCTGAACGTAGTTTTTCAACTTTAAAACGGATCAAAACATTTTTAAGAAATTCAATGTGCGAAGACAGATTAACAGCCCTTTCCACACTCTCGATAGAAAAAAAGTTCATCGCTTCAATACCGAACTTTAACGATAAAGTAATCGAAAAGTTTGCGACAAAAAAGGACCGGCGTATTAATTTCCAATTTAGAAAAATGCAATAAATGTAAGTTAATCAGATTTTTATAGCATGTCGTTATTAGTTACTATTAATTAGTATTAAAGCTAATTTTATTGTTTTTGTTTTCGTATGTTATTCTATTTCTATTATTTTATATTGACCGTGGTTCATGCAGCACACCCTATAGCAGATGTCACGAGCCGCCACTGGGTTGTACTAACAAAAATTAGAATTGAAAAAATTATAAAAAAAGAATAATTGAAAACATTCTTCCTTCACGTTTTGGAGAAATGATGTTGTTTCATGTTCGATACAATTGCTTCAAAATTGGGACTTTTTGATATAAGAGCGATTTGAATACAGTCTTCGGCGTTTAATCGATTTCTGTTCTTCGTTTTTATGTTCACTAGAGTGGAAAAGCCTTGTTCACACAAATATGTTGTTCCAAATGGCAGCAATTTTTTAACCGCCTCTTCATGTGCAATTTTGAAAGCTTTTGCAGCTTTTGATATCCAAAAAGACGACAGATTTGGTTTACTCTCAAATTGAATACGTGCTTCAGTATTAGATCGAAGTTCAAGAATTGCTTCTGCCAAACCTGAAGGTTCTTCTGGTATCATATCAATTTTACATTTAAAAGGATCTACAATAAAACTGACAGTACATCACACAGTACCTACATCATACATGACAGTATATCAAAATCTGGAAAGTAATCTGAAAACCGCTTTCTGAGTTTGATAAGATGTCTTACGATTGTATCCTTGATGTCAGCAAAAGTAATATTTTCGCAATATTCCAAAAACAAAGCTAACCTTGAAAAAGAAGCTATCTTGTTCTGTTCTACTTTCTGACTCCAATATTGCAGCTTTAATCCAAACGCTGACACTATTTCTCTCGCTGAAATGATATTAATATTCTTTCCTTGCAATTATTTGTTTGTAATATATTTATACTCTCAACAATGTCAGCTAAATATGCGAGATATGCAACCCAGGAAGAGTTGTTAAACTTATCTGCGAGAATATTTTTTTGATCAACCATAAAAATTTCCACTTCAGTTTTGAGAGTCCATACTCGATTTAGTACAGTTCCGCGAGAGGGCCACCTTACTTCTGTATAATAAAGTAGGTCCGTATATTTGGCTTCACCGTCCTGACATAATTCACGAAATAGCCGCGTGTTTAGTGCATGTCCCTTGATAAAATTTACAATCTTGATGACATCATGCATGACGGCTTCCAGTGTAGGTTCTAAATATTTGACCATAAGGGCCTGGCGATGGATCATACAGTGAATATTTGGATTACTTTTTTTACGAAAGCCGAAAAACCATTAATATGGCCCAGCATAATAATAGCACAGGATCGGAATCAATGGAAGGCAATAGTAAACGCGGCAAAAACTCATGAAGAGTTGTAAAAGCCAATGATGATGATGATGATAGCTGGAGCTCCATCCAAAGATACTGAAATACAGTTTTCCCATTTTAAACTTTGCGCATTGAAATATTCATTTACTTTATTGTAGACATCAATTCCACGAGATCTTAACTCGAGAGGAGAACAAAACAGCAATTCCTCTTCAAAATTATCTGCACCTTTGTAGCGAACATATACCATTAGCTGTGAATTGTTACTAAAATCAGTTGTCTCATCAAGCTGAATAGCAAAATATTTAGCCTGTTTTGATGAGAAAATAACTTGTTCCTTCACATTTTCTGCTAATATAGAAATTCGTTCTTTCACAATTCTCGCAGACAAGGGCACTGTCATTCGCAAACATTCAGTTTGTTCGCTTCTTTTTGACCACACATAATATCTGTCATTTTAACAGCAGCTGGTTTAACCAAATCTTCACCAATAGTGTATGGTTTCTTATTTCGAGCAATCAACCAGGCTACTTCAAAGCTAGCCCTTGATGCTGAACGCTGATCAAATGTACCAAACAAGTTGCTATTCAATCTTTGTCTTTTAACAGATATTTTCAAATTTGCAAAGTATTCTCGCGGTTTGGAAGACAGGTGTGAATGCAAATTATCTAAATGTTTCTTCAGTTGACTTTTTTTGAAAGATTCTGTCTGAAAGTCAATACCTTCATACATACAACACACTGTGGTTTCATTGTACCATTGTCTTCTATTTGTGTAAAACCGTAATTAAGGAATTCCTCTTGATATTTTCTTTTTCTATTTGCTGTCATCTGAAGGAGACAGAAAATAATAGTTGTAAAATACTTAAATTAAATTTTCAAATTGCGGCTTACCTTGATCAATATATCGATGATTAATGATTGTCAGCAACTAACTATAACTCTCTGACTCGTCAATGTATTTGTATTCTGACTGCACGGCACGGACTGAGGGACTGAGCAGGTAGCCGGGGCTCTGGGCTGTGCTTTACTGCGCAAAGATATAACTCGAGAACACTCTACTGGTGGGGAGTGCAGTGGCGCACCCCGGGGAGGTTTTGGGGTTTAAAAATCCTCCCAGGGCATATAAAAAATTTACAAAGGATAGTAGGAAAATCTAATTTATCTTTCACAAATAATACAAAAAAATTTCGGTGCATGCAAAACAGGTTTATAAAAATTCTAATTAAAATATATACTTTTTACTCACATGTTTCATTTTTACCCCCAAAAATTTAATTTTTACCCCTTTTGGGGTAATTTACCCCGGTTCCCCGACCGCTGCCTTAGAGCAACAACGGTACATGTCACAATCTTACTAAAAATGAGTTATATTCAGTTTTTAAATGGTTAGGTTCCTATCTACCTACAAAATAAAAATCACACCTTTTATTTCATAGGCTTTATACTAGTTACAAATATCCTTGTTACTTTTGTACCGAAATCAACTATTTTAAGTGTAACAACGGTACTAAAACACCATATTTTTATATTGGCTGCTTTAAGTAGTCAAATAACTCCACAAAATTCGTTTTATTATGAAGATTCTGAAAGTGATTCTGATTCGTATTTTGAGTCGAATGATAGTGTTAAAGACAAAGACTATATTGAACGTAATAGTGATAGTGAACACTCTTCAGGTAGTGAACCACAGGTGAGTAATTAAAATTTGTGGCTTGTCCCTTTTTAAGTAAACTTATTGTGACTTCATTTTTTTTGTAATAAACAATGTTAATATACTTTCTTAATGCTAAAATATTATAGCTTCCTACTACTGCTTTCGTGATATTGCTAAAAAATTAAATCATTCTTGTTTTGTACGTTATAATCTCGATTTAACGTCGAGTGGTGACTTATCCCCTTATCGTCTTAAAAATTATTACAAAACTTTTATAATAGTCCCAGGATTATAACACTATTTTTGTTTGCAGACAAATAAATTTTCTGCAGCTACCGAATCGAAAAACGATTTACTTGACAGACGAGGTTCTCTTTCCACGCTGGAGAAAGCTCCTTCTTCAAGATGGCGCCATACAAAACTAGAGAGACAGACTAGACGTAAGAGAAAAATTAAACGAAATTTGGGCCATAGTTAGTAAATGGCAAAAACAAGTACCTGACAGGGAAATCGGACCTCTATGTAAGTGTAGCAAGAAATGTCCAGATGCTATAAAGAGAATGAAGCACAAATCTTTAATGCGCTTTGGAACTTGGTTGATTATGATAAACAAAATATTTATCTTTTTTCTTAAATCAAATCTGTTCCAAAAAAGAACCAACCCCAAAAACACCCAAAGACATGTATCGTTGCGAAATGTTTCAATACAGTACTTTGTAAAATATAAATAAGAGTTTCTTGCAGTTCGTGGATTGCAAAAATAAAAAAAGAAAATAACTTTTATGCGAACAAATGAAGAAAGGTGCTAGTACTCCAAAAGCAGATAAACCTTGCAAACGCCAGAACAGAGCAAATAAAATTAATGACTGTGACTGTGTAAACGTAAAAACGCATATTTAGTCCATCCCAAAATACACTATAATAGTCGCTATAGTAGTCAAAACAATCTAAACAAGGTGTATCCAAACAAAGTGTACATAGATCATGGTTTATCAATTTCGATATATCTCTATATTACGATTATTACCTGGAATGGTGTAGAGATAGAAATGCCAATCCAGTAAAATAAAGCTACTACAGAAGCGTTTTTTGCCAGTAGTTTTTAACGGACTAAGGGGCGGACTAAAACGGACTAACGGGTTTAAAGAGCATTAGCAGACAGCTTAAAGACTCAACTCAAGCTACATCATCGTAGGGCCGAAACGTTGCAAAAAGCCTGGAAGATGAAGTAGAAAATGCTAAGAGGACAAAAGACACCCTTGTTAACAGTTTTGATTTAAAGCAAGCTCTACCTGTACCTTCGTTAACAGTTGCTCATGCTTCTGATTTACGAAAAATCTGGACGTATAGCTTAGGAATACATAACTGCGTTGAAGACATGGGATATATGTATATGTAGCCCGAACTCTTAACAGAACCTGGAAGTGATGAGAATGCTAGTATATTATATGAGCATTTGAAGAAAAAGCCTAGTGAACATAGGAAGCTTGTTGTATATAGTGATAATTGCTCTGGACAAAACAAAAATTGGACCTTTGTATGTTTGTGGCAACAACTGGTTAAAGAAAGTGTCTTTGATATAATAGAACGTAGATTTCTTATAGTGGGCACACGGATCTTCCTTCTGATCGTATTCGCAATTTGCTAATTCGCAATTATTCAAAAACAGAAACGTCGTTATTTAAATCAAGTGTATACGCCTGCTGATTGGTATCAAGCAATCTTAAAATTAAAAAGAAAAATCCTTTCCATGTCATTGTTCTACAGCAACAAGATATATTTTGCTGTTTAAGGACTTATCCAAAATGTTTGGACAGATCCAAAATAGTACCAAAAAATCTCAAACAGCAAATAAAAAATTAATTTCAGTAAAATCTGTACATTAAAATTTATTCAAGAGACTTCCAAGAGTGTTATGTTTTATAAACATCTTTGGAACGAATAATTTAAATCTATGAATATTGGTAGGAGAGGTGTGAGAACTGCAGTAAGTCTGAGTATAAGAGATTTAAAAATTAAATATTCAGCCATTCCATTAAATCCAAAAAAAAAAAATCTAATCTTTCGATGCTTGTTTGGTATATACTACCTATTTACCAGAATTACTATAGAGAGATTAATGTTGCTGGAAATATGGAAACAGATAATGATATAGGGGGTTCAAAGGAGTAGTGAGGCGCAATACAAAGTGTTGCTTCCAGATAACACCTCTCGCCTCTCCTACTTAATTCCTATCCTCACTTCCAAGAAGTATGATCTTGATCACACGGGTGTACCCCGGTAAACCTGAGCAACCTTTGTTGGAGAACTATGTCTCCAAACCAATAATTCTATTTTGTATCAAATAATTCTATTTTCGCGTCGGTTACCTAAATAAATCCAGTCTACCTAGACCTTGTTTCTGAGAATGTTAATCCCCGCCCACAGCGCCTGCTTGACGACAGACCGGCTTTTCAAAATGCATAAACAAAAAAATATTCCAGCGGGGCTAGTGATTTAGCGACTTTCGTAGGGCTAACATCTAGGTATATTTCAAAAGTTCGGAGAGGATTCTCCACGTTGCAGTTTACGCAATTGACCGGGAAGCCGTAATATGTGAATAAGTGTTATGGTGTTTTCGCTTTCGTTCGCAAATTGTAATATTCAAATTAAGTTCCTACGATAAGTTACACTCTCAAATTTTATAAGCTCTATTTCTTGCCCTTTCTTTTTTTAATTACAGTTTCTTTCTAAACAAGTAATTGTTTTATTTCACTATATCAATTCAACAGGCCAGATAAAAGCAACTTTGAAAGTCCATTTTAGTTTCTCTACTGAGCTGTCGAAGGCTAGCGGACTAATTGGGCTTACAGCAAGAACAAAGCCGCTGAAAGAGACACTGTTGCATATAAGCCTCTCCATGGAAGGGATGTTGTAAACCGGCACCCTCCATTTTGTTCACTTCGAGCCGAATTTTAATGACTTCAAACCGTATTCTGATCCTACTACTTTCTGGCCTAAAAACACTCAATACAAGTTTCTTCTTCATTCTACGCATTCAAAAAGACATTAAAAGTTTCGCGTATTTCGGATATTCTCGTCGATAGAAAATAATTTTTAGAGACATAGTGAGTGCGTTATTTATTCTACGGACAAATAAACATTCAATGAACAAAACAGTGTTAGTTTAAAAAACCAGGGCAATTTCAAGAAATGCAGTTCCAGGACTAGCTGATTCCAGACTCCAGAGAGGAAGAACCAGCCCACATTCAAGTACCAAGAACCCAGGGGTGACATACAAACACAAACTTTTCTATATAAATTCAAAGTTATTTCAGAAAAGAACTATTCAGTTAAATTTTTGTTTAGCTTATCGCATGTTTGTTATATTATAAATTCAAAATTAATCATTCAGAATTAATTAATTCAAAAAGAAATTATTTCATTTAAAAATAAACAAATTAAAGTTATTACAATGAGCAATAAAGGTTTAAATAAATTAACAAAAAAGAAGCATTCTATTCTAGATTCAGTGGCTAGAATTCAAGCGTGGCTAGAAATAAACCACGACTCAGAAAAAGATATTTTCTCATTCAAAACACGAGAAGAAAGGTTAAAAGACCTTTTTTCTGACTTCAATAGCGTACAGGATGAAATTGAATTCCTGGACGATTCTCAAGCATGTGACCGTGCCTTATTTGAAGAAAATTATTTCGCGACTCTTTCAAAACTTTAAAATACAATTAAATCATTGGAAATTACTAATACAGGAAGCGCCAATAAACAAATGGCCGTAAAACTCCCAGAAATCAGTATAAACAAATTTTCTGGACACGTAAGTGATGTTGAAAGCTTCTACGAACTATTCGACACACTGATAATAAAAAATCAGTCCCTTTCTGACATCCAAAGATTTCTTTACTTGAAAAGTTATCTACAGGGTGATTCTCTAAAGTTGGTGGATTCTTTGAAAGTCACAAATGAAAATTTTTCAATTGCTTTAGATATTCTAAAAAACCGCTATCAAAATAAGGTCACGGTCATAAATTCTTATTTAACAGAAATTCTAGACATTCCTACACTGAGAAACAGCTCACCGCAGATTCTCAGAAATTTTCTAACTACTGTAACAAAAAATATGCAACTGTTGAAAAATTTGCAATTTTCAAGTTCAGAGCTCATTGATATAATTTTAGTTTTTCTGCTAGAAAGCAAATTAGACTTATCAACAAGGAGACTTTTTGAAACTGAGCGAAATCATACAGGTGTACCAAATTTAGATGCTTTTCTTAAATTTCTAGAAAAAAGGTGCATTGTTCTGGAAAGCCTGGAAAATACAAATCCTAGGCAAACCAAAAACGTAAAAGTTTCACATCATGCATACAGTAATAACACATCAGAGGATTCAAATAAAAATAATAGTTCAAATAATTTAGTTTCTGACTTTTATTGTATTTACTGCAAAAAACAAGGACATAAAATTTATAAATGTCAATTTTTCAAAAACATTCAGCATGATGACAAGATAAAATTCGTAAATTCAAAAGGTCTCTGCGTAAACTGCCTAGGTAGACATTATTTTAAAAACTGCTCCTCAAAACATGGATGCACCATATGTAAAAAGCGCCATAACACTGTTCTTTACATTTCGGGTAAAGATTATACTTTTTCTACGACCCATAATAATGAAAGTCCGTCAACTTCTACAATTTCAAACAATTACAAACGCGAACATTCGTCTAATTCAAATTTTCAAGGTCCTTCGGTTCAAGGGCAAGAACCTCTTACAAATTCATTTTCTGCTTTGTCCGTAAAAAATTCAAACATACTTCTGGCCACGGCCAAAGTCACCATTTTCGACAAAAACGGGAACCCTTATTACTCGATACAGGAAGTCAGAATAGCTTTTGTACCCGGTGTCTCGCTAATAGGCTGGGTTATAAGCCATATGACATTTCTCTAAATATCTCTGGCATAGGCCAAAATAATTCTATTTCAAAAAAGATGCTCAACATAAAAATGCATTCTAACTTCAATAAAAAATCTTTCAAAATTTCATGTGCTATCTTAGAAAATATTACTTGCAATCTTCCACAGTTCCGCATTCTTACAAAAAAATTACCAATTCCAGGGGACGTTTTTCTCGCCGATGATTCCTTTCACAAACCCAGTCAAATAGACATTTTGGTTGGGGCAGATTTGTACTACTACCTAATTCTTCCAGAAATAATTCCTCTTGGCCCCAGGCTTCCAATTTTGCAGGCTTCGTATCTGGGGTACCTAACCGCCGGCGTGATAGCTCCTCACTTGACGGCCCCTACAGTAGCAAACAATGTTTCTGGAGAGGTTGCTCTACTTTCTACGTGTAGCACGGACGAGCTGCTCACAAAATTTTGGAACATGGAAGAACTTTCTAAAAAACCTATTCTGTCGGAAGCTGGCGAGCTGGCCGAACAAATATTTCAAACTACTACAAAGATCCTTGAAACTGGACGTTTTGTAGTAGATATTCCTTTAAAAAGTGCACAAGAGCACCAGTTACTGGGTGATTCATTTTCTATAGCCAAACGGCGTTTTCTCTCGCTCGAAAATAAATTCCAAAAAGATAAAAAATTGTTTGTCGAGTACAAAAACTTCATTGACACATATATTTCGTCAGGGCATGCTGAATATGTGCCTCTTTCGTTCGTGAATGAAAATTCTGACAAAAAATATTTTATTCCACATTTGTGTGTCATCAACGAACAAAATAAAAGTACAACTTTGCGTGTCGTCATGGATGCTAGTTGTAAAAGCTCTACGGGAAAAAGTCTGAACGATATTTCATTAAAAGGGTATCAGGTGCAACCTGATCTATTCGATATTCTAGTTCGTTTTAGGCAATACAAATTCATATTTTCCTGTGATATTCAAACAATGTTTCGACAGACGTGGATCAACAAAGATCAACGCTTTCTACAAAACATTCTGTGGAGGGACAATCCCCACGATTCTATAAAATGTATTCAACTTAATACTGTTACATACGGGACTAACAGTGCCCCATTTCTTGCGACGAGAGTCTTGCAAGAGATTTCAAATACAAGTAAAATTCA